AAGGGATTTTGCATTCCTTTCACTTATACCTTCTTTGATGATTTTCCTTTCTTTATGGAGATCTGAGTTTTGACTTATATCATTTTCATTCCCTCTAATTTTTTTTTTTTTCAATTTGAATCCACCACCTCCAGTATATGGGGCCAGTGCCCTACTCCTTTGAGCCACAGATGCTGCTCCCTCTAAAATTTTTTCAGAAAAGTTTCATGCAAGATAGGGCTACTGAAAACAATTTTTTTCAAGTTTTGTTTGCCTGAATAAGTTCTTATTTCTCTTTTATTTTTGAAGAAAAATTTCAGAGTATAAGTTGGTGTTTTTTTCCTTCACTATTTTAAATATTTCTTGCTTGCTTGGTCTCTGAGGAGATGTTTGATGTAATCCTTACCTTTGCTTCTTTATAGGTCAGGCATTTTTTTTCTCCTGGCTGCTTTGAAGATTTTTTTTTTTTTTTGAGATAGTCTCACTATGTCGCTCTGAGTAAAGTGCCACAGTGTCACAGCTCATAGCAACCTCAAACTCTTGGGCTTAAGGCATTCTCTTGCCTCAGCCTTCCCAAGTAGCTGGACTACAGGCACCCACCACAACGCCCAGCTATTTTTTGTTGCAGTTATCATTGCTGTTTAGCTGGCCCACGCTGGGTTCGAACCTGCCAGCCTGAGCGTATGTGGCAGGTGCTCTATCCACTGAACTACGTGCACCGCCTGAAGATTTTTTTTTTTTAATCTTTGATTTTATGTACTTTGCTTTATTTGGGGAAGGATAGCGAAGGAAACATATCCTATTTGGTATTCTCTGAGCTTCCTGGATTTTTGGTCTGATAACTGTTATTAATTAGAAAAATTCTCAGTTATTATTGTTTCAAATATTGTCTTTCCTCTCTATTCCCTTTCTGATATTTCCACTTACATGGTTACATGTTTTGTCATTGTCCCACAGTTCTTGTATAGTCTGGGTTTTTCTTTCACCTTTTTTGCTCTTTGCTTTTCAGTTTTGTAGGTGCCTAATGCAAAATCCTCAACCTTGGAGATTCTTATTTCACTCGCGCTCAGTCTACTAATAAGGCTATAAAAGACATTCTTCATTTCTGTCACAGTATTTTGAGCTTTCGAATTTTCTTTTATGTTCTTTCTTGGAATTTCCTACCTTTCTTTATGCTGCATACCTGTTCTTGCATGCTGCCTACTCTATCCATTAGCTCACGTCGCATATTTATTATAGTTGTTTTAAATTCTTAGCCTGGTAACGTCCACTTTGCCAGCATACCTGAGTCTGGTTCTGATGCCTACTCTGTTTCTTCATGTTCTGTTTTTTCTTTGTAGTATGCCTTATAGTTTCTTCTTGATGGCCAGACATGGTGTACAGTGTAGAAGATACAGCTGTAAATAAATCTTTAGTAATATGGTGGTAAAGTATTGGATGAGGGTAGCATACTGTATTTCCATCACGTTTGCAATAGCATCATGTTAGCACAATAATGTTGAAATGTAATCCCAAGTTCTGAGGATACGGTTTGCTTACTGTTTTAAATAGCAAAGTTCCCCTTCACTTTGACGGTCCTCATCTCTTTGACAATATAGTGAACCAGATCACAGTCTGCAGCTGATCTGGCCTCCTAGCAAACACTTGGGGCCATCTCTTCCTTTAACACCTGATTGAAAATCACTTCCTCTTCTAGTGTTTTTAAAAATCACTGTTTTTTGTAGAATTTTAAATTCATTACTGAGCTTTTCCTTTATACGCCAATCATTTCAGTCATTGACTCAGGACCCAGGATTATAGTGCTCAGGAAGGTAGGCTCTGTGTTCCATTCTGTCCCTCACTAGCTAAATGATAATAGGCATGCCATGTAAACTCCCCAGATTTCAGCATCTCCATCTAGATGGCGCAGTGGGGATACTAATGACACCTATCTCCTAAATTATAACAAAATTTGAATAAACTATATCAGTAAATCACTTAGCAAATGGTCTGATACCTGTTGCTTGTTATGATTATCACTCTTACTGATGCTCTGATTGATAACTAATACTGCTCGAGAGATTGTAATTGCCCAGAATCCTGGGATCTCATCTATGGCTTCTTTTGTTAGAGTAAGTGATCCAGTAAAGGCTTTGGAGTCAGTGGATGGAAAGTAAAACATAAATTAGTTAATGCCTGGTGTAGGTTCTGATTTAACATGCTTTTGTTAAAACAAGAGATGCTTCCCATCTGTAGGCGTATGATGTCCTGTAGCATTCAGTTATATCCTGTGCAAGATCATTCAGATTTGTGAAACTGAAAATGTTCTTTATAATATGTATTTTGTGAATGTATACAGATTAAAAAGGATTAACTTAAAGCAGTAGGATAATCTAAATGGCTACCCTAAAAAAATTACCACTGGCATTTTAATGAAATGTTATTTTACAACTTTAAAGCTCATAGCAATATAATTAGTAATATGTGTAATCTTTATTACCAATCTTAATCTTTTTTATATGACTGAAAAATTATTTTATGGTAGTACAATTAAAATAATGCTAAAAATGTCAGCATAACAGAATCAAACGAAAGTAACTACTACAATATTGTACCCCAAACCAGCTAATTTAAATGCAAAATACTTTGGAAAGGCTATTTATCTGGGCTAATGCATGTTAAGGGATTTAAGGAGTAGTTTGTGTAACTGAAATAAAAGGAAAAATAAGCGCTGTACAGCAATCTTTACTATTGTTTAACATGAGGGAAATATTAAATAGGCTTATATACAGGCCAATTGAGGAAACTGTATTAGAAGCCACAGCACAGCACAGTTAAATATAAAGACAACTGGCAGGCAGTACTCCATTCATAAGCTTTTACAGGGAAGGCTGGAAATGCTTAAAACTGTACTTACACAAATGGTGGTATAACATTAACTATCATAACTAGACTGAAGATGCACAGAGTTTTAAAAGTATGTTTTGAAAAAGGGATTTCAGACAGGGCCGTTGCTGTTTAGCTGGTACATGACAATAGTTTGATTTGGGGAGAGCGGCTGCTTCTTTCGATCTACCCAATGACTTTACCAATTTGTTGTCATTATAAGATGAAAATCAGAAAGTATTTGAGAATAGGACTTTAAAAAATACAAGATTAGTAATCTTTTCAATTTGATCATGTCCCATTTATTTATTTTTCTTGCTACAGTGATTGCCACTGGGGACTCCTTCATAAATTGTTTCCCTAGGCTGATATCTATTAAGAACAGAAACTTTTCAAATGAAGATAGTCTAATGGCCAACAAACACATGAAAAAATGCTCAACATCTCTAATTATCAGGGAAATGCAAACCAAAACCACAATGAGATGTATCACCTCGCCCCAGAAAGAGTGGCTCACATGGTAGCTGACATCTGTAGTCCCAGCACTCTAGGAGGCCAAGGCAGGTGGGTCCCTTGATCTCAGGAATTCTAGACCAGCCTGTGCAAGACTAAGACCCTGTCTCTACTATAACAAACAAATAAACAACAACAACAACAACAAAATTAGAAGAATTAGGCGTTGTGGTAGACGCCTGTAGTCCCAGCTACTTGGGAAGCTGAGGTTAGAGGATCACTTAAGCCCTGGAGTCTGAGGTTGCTGTGAACTAGGACCCCACAGCACACTAGCTAGGGTGACAAAGTGAGACTCTATCTCAAACAGAAAAAGTCCCAAAGTGGGTGTTCAACATCTTTTCTGGTGAGGGGCTCAACTACAACTTGAACTTTACCTTAGAAATAAAAACAATGTAATCTATTAATCTGCAATTAAAAAAATAAAAAAAATTATAACAGTCCTAAAGCAATAGATGCTGACATGAAGGTGGAGAGAAAGGCTCACTCCTTCACTGCCGGGGGACTGCAAACTAATAATGACCTCTATAGAAAGTAGTACAGAGATCCCTTAAAGAACTAAAAGTAGACCTACCTTCTGGTCCAGCAATCTCTAGGTATTTATCTAAAGGACAAAAAGAATTTATATAAAAAAAGACATTCATACTGGAATATTTATAGCAGGACAATTCATAATTGCAAAGATGTGGAAACAATTCAAGTGCCCCTCAATACATGAATGGATCAATAAATTATGGTACCTGTATACCATGGAATACTATTCAGCCATAAAAATGATAGTGATCTAGTATCTTTTGTAATAATATGGATGAAATTAGTGAAGTATTTCAAGAATAGAAAAATGAACAACAAATTTACTCAACGTTAAATTGGAAGTAATCAACACTAATGTACATACATGAATGTAAAACTCAGAGGAAATTAAGTAGGGAGAAGCGGTAGAAGGGGTAGAGTAAAATCATACCTAACTACACGTATTCTGCACATAACACTTAAAAGGTAAAAAAGCAAATTATGTAACCAGAATGTGTGTACCCCTGTAATATTCTGAAATTAAACAAAAAAAAATCAAAAAATATAGGCTCAATCTAGAAAATTTGGAACATATAGAAAAGGAGAAAAAAATCACCTTGAATTTCACCCCCTATAAAGCATCACATTTAATATTTACTGCATATGTTACTAGTTTCTGTTCTCTCATAAGAAGTTTGTAAGTAATAAAATTTAATAATAAATTTTAATTATATTCTGTAGAATATTCATGTATAATAGAAATAAATCTAAGGAAATATATAAAAATTCTTTATAAAAGTGATTCAGCTGTATTTGCCTCATGTTATTTCAGTCCTTTCTTTTATAGACCCTCAAAAAGTATTGCTGCTTCTATATTCATTCCTCCTTATCATGACTATTCATTTAAAAAATGTGGTTAGAGTCTAAAATATTTTAGCATACTATATATTACTTTCAAAAAACCATTGTTCCATGGTTCCATTAAAACCATGTGTCGTTTGTGATAGAAGCAAAATGGTGGATTTGAGAGAAACTAGATGTTATGGTTTGCTTATTGTTATTTCAATAGTTGAATCAACTTTGATTTAACAGATGACATTTCACATTTTATTTGTTTGGTTTTGATTTTGTAGGTGCCAGCACACCTGGAAGGTCCTGCAAGGCCTCAGACACAGAAAACCCAGAGAGAGCAAGTGAATTCGTTCATGACTTTTGACCACCAGATCATCAACCAGGCTCTTAAAAGATCACAGCCTCCAAGCAGCGCACTTCTGGGACAGCATGGACACACAACCCCGGACAGTGATGCTGCCCTCACAGGCGACCCACTTGCCAAGTTACTAACGCTTGGAAGAGAGGATGGCAACGCAGAATGGCATGTATGTCTAATAGCTGGTGATGAAAATAGATCAAATATATCATTGGTTTAAAAAAAAAAACACTTTGAGGAAATTGAAACCTACATTTTTATTTTTTTGAGAGTGCCGTGGAGTCATAGCCCACAGCAAGCTCAAACTCTTGGGCTCAAGTGATTCTCTTGCCTCAACTTCCCAAGCAGCTGGGACTACAGGCACCCACCACAACACCCAGCTATTTTTTGTTGCAGTTGTCATTGTTGTTTTGCTGGCCCTGGCTAGGTTTGAACCTGCCAGCTTTGGTGTAGGTGGCTGGTACCATAAGCACGGTGCTATAGGCACTGAGCCAAAATCAACATTTTTACAGTAAACATTCTATTTGCAAATTTACTTAATGAAGGAATGTGTTTTAATTATCATTAACTATATACGAAATTATTATGCACAATAAACTATAACAATTTTTAATACTCATTTATGTATCATGTATGGCACTAACAGTAAGACGTGTTTAGATGATTCACCTCTAATTGTTAAGGTGTTCTGGTATCTTTAGTTGAAATATATATCAGTAGTTGTATATTATCTAAAACATCCACTAAAAACAAAAAGATATCTTTAAACAACAGTAAATTTGTGCTGTAGAAATGTTTGTTAGAATAAGACAGCTAATCTTATGGCACTGAGTATGTTATGGAATCATCTCTGGAGTTTTGATTTTTGATTTTCTATACATTCATTTCTATTTTCAAAAATATTTGTCTACCATTTAATAAATGACAAGAATGTAGAGATACTGAAGATAAAAAAATCAGTAAGAGTGTCTAGACTTAGATAGTTTATATTTATATGGACTTGTTTGTATGAATCTTCAGAAAATACTGAAGAATGAAAAGAAGAAACCAATTGAAACTGACAAAAATACATCCTTTAACATCTCAATTTAGAAAAACTACCTTAATAACAGAACTTCCTGTTCTTCTCTTTGTCATTTTTTCCCCATTTGATTTATTAGTGCCATGGTCCTATGATCTCCCAGGTTTCATCTCTGAATCCACATTCTTGGGGATTGTGGCTAATTTCAGGTGGATACTTTTCAACTACTAAGTCTATAGCCTACAGGCGTGAAGGGACAATACTTAGAATTCTATTATTTGAATTCCAAATGATAGAGGAAGATTTTATTTTAAAACAAATTTCATGTCAATCTCGAAAAAGAGAAAAGAATAAGGATCTAGTAGACTATATAAAATATAAAAAACCACAAAATACGACGTGTTGAAATCCAAATCTGAGTCTGACTCCCTACATGCTTATTTCTGTAAACTTTTCAATGGTGGTTATATTAAAATTTTTTCCAACAAGTAAATGTAGAACCAGGTTGTCTATTCACTCTAAAAAGAATTTTTAAAATACATGAAGGATGAACATCATCTGTATGATAATATTAGAACTACACCAAATACAATTTATTTTATAACCACTTCTTTCAAAGTTCATTTCCTCATGTGAGATGTTGATTTCTCAGGAAAAAACAAATCTCAAAGGATATGAACATGCTGGTCAATTCTAACCAATACCTAGAAAGTGACCATATTACGTATCTTATGAAGTATGTTTTCTAAAAAACAAGAATGAATAAAAAAGAGAGAGAGAATGAATAAGCACCATATGCTAGACTTCTAGGGTTTCTGTACATTTTTTATTCCTAAGGCTTAGGCACACCTCTCACCTTTGGCTTTTGGACTAACTTCGCATAGATAAAGGGAAGTTGCATGGTCTCAGCAATCCTTTAGGTGGTCTCAGTCAGAGTCCTGTGGCTGGAAGGGTTAAATTCCCAAGAGGTGCCATAGCCTAGAAGCAATGTGAACAGTGGTTGAAGACAATTTTTGAAGCTTTTTTTTAAATCATTGTACTTTTCAAATTGTGTATACAAAATTCTCTTCCAACCATTATTAATATCTAATTAGTCATAGGTTTATTCAGTGTGTAATAGTTTTAATCAGAGTGTAGTCGCTTAGAATTTTATTTTCATATACTACCATCTTTAACACACGTACTATCTTTAAGAGCTAGTATTTATCTTGTGCTATTGCCATTTCTTAATATTCTTTGGTTGGTGCCAGGAGTCTTTTTCTCAAAGCGAAAGTATACAGTCTTTGGACACAGATAGTACAGCAGAAACGGCATAGTCTGGTCTCAGTCCTTACTCTCTCACCTACTTTTCTACACCTTGAAGAGTTATTTTTATGCTTGTATTTTAAAAGTTCCTGACAGAAAGGCAGAGTGGAAGCTCAGGAGATAGTGGCTGTTTCCATCTCTTGGTGTTTCGTTCTCCTAAGCCTTGTCCTCTTACAGCATCAGACAGCATTTCATCATTTCAGAGATCTTACAAATTATAACTACCCCAGGATAAATCTCTGAGAGAATGCTTAGATTCAGGATTAGGTGATCAGAATTAGTAATAATTTGAAGACTAAAGGTCTGTGAGACAAAGAAATATAAAATCAAAAGAGGCATTTTATAAGATGAATTTTTTTCTGAGATATAATTCAAATTTGTGCTCATAACACATAGGCACCTTCCACACTTAATTCTTGTACCTGGCCCAGACTTACCATTTCACACCCTCATGGAACCATGTGCTTTAGCCCCATGAGTTAACTAGTGGTTCTCATGGTGGCCAAATTCTCCTTTTATCCTTTCTTTACCTCCTACTCATTCCATCTCTACCATTTATCAGAATAATTCCAACTCATCCTTCAAAATTGATTTCAAGTTTCATTATTTGTTTCTTCATTCAGAGGAACTGTCATTACCACATGCTCAAGGTGAGCGCACATAATGTATGATCTGTACCATCTAGGAACTTCAAGTTGAGGGGGAGAGAAAAATATTAACAAACACTTATTATGTAGAAAGAGTGGTGGGGCCTGGGGTGACATAATCAGAGTTCTTTGTGTATTACTCTGTCAACTACATAGGGGAGGAAGTCTGGAGGTAGAGGTGGAGAGCAATGGGGAATCTATTTCTATTGTGCAGTAAAAGATAATGAAGCTCTCCCTTAACTTGTTAGAGCTGAAGTATCTGTGATCTCACCATAGGGCGATATTGGTGACAGCTAGGTATCAAAATGCCTTGAGAAGGAGGAATCCAGCCTAAAGGAGGTGATTGGACTGTTGTCAGCATGTCGATGGTACTTGAAATCTTAGATGAGAAAGTGATTCCCAGAGAACTTGAATTCAATGAGGAGAGTGGTAACTAAAGATGGGATTTCAGGAGATAGCCAACAATTCAGGGGTGGTTTGCAGAGAGGACCCCCAAAAGTAAAGTCAAATGGTAACCTGGAGAGTACCATGTCATTAAAGCCAAAAGGGTTAGTTTATAGAAGGAGGGGATGAGCCACACATCCAAAGTAACAGATGAGTCCAGTAAAATAGAAACTGATAAATATCCATGAAAGTTAGTAGTCCAGGAAAATAGCAGTGAATAGGAGTATCAGCAGGATGGTGGGCGCACGGTATTCTACTTTGAATTCAGACTTAATAGAAGGCGGAGAGTTTGACTGCCTGGGGTGTTTGGGATGGTTGGACATAGAGATAGCAGGGCAAGCACAAAAAAAGGTCATAATAGGGCAGCACCTGTGGCTCAAAGGGGTAGGGCGCTGGCCCCATATGCCGGAGGTGACGGGTTCAAACCTAGCCCCAGCCAAAAAAAAAAAAAAGTCATAATAGAAATTGTTCAGATGATCTGCCATAAGGTCTAGATTAGAACGAGTAAGATGATGGAGTTTAATATTTCAGAGATGGGACTGTTTACAAGATGACAGGACATGAGGAATGGCTTTGGGAATAGGCAAAGAGCAGTTAAATTTAGGTTTATGTGTGAACTATCAGATTTTGAGAGTGCTAAGCTAGCATGGTCAACAAGTGTTGATTTCTTTTCCTCTAGAATCCTGACAGTTGTTGCTGTGTGTATTTTTAGGTGCATGTGTTCTTGGTATTTCCTTTAAATATTTTTCCTTTAAATTTTTACCGTGCATTTTGTATGGCCTGATATTAGAATCATTACTACTATACTACTATTGTCTGATATTAGAATCATTAGCTACAATACTACTGTAGCTTTCCTTCAGTCATATTTATACTTTTAAAAATTTTGTTACAGCCTTCTCAATTATTTCAAATATGTCTCTTATAGACAAAATGTTATAATACTAATTATTAAATGCCAATTCAAGATTTTGAGAGATAATTTCTTGATAGGCATATTAACTAATTTACTTTACTGTTAGGATTTACTAATTATCATTGCTCGTGTTTTTAAGTTTCTATACCTTCTTTATTTGCCACCTTTTTTCTTTCTTCCTTTCTTTCCTCCACTATATTTTCTTTTTTTCCAGTTTTTTTTTTTTTTCAAGAGAACTTTTTTGGGGGAGGGGGGAAGACAGAGTCTGATTATGTTGCCCTCAGTAGAGTGCTGTGGCATCACAGCTCACATCAACCTCCAACTCTTTGGGCTTATGGGATTCTCTAGACTCAGCCTCCCAAATAGCTTGGGAGTACAGGCGCCTGCCACAACACAGGGCCATTTTTTTGTTGCAGTTGTCATTGTTGTTGAGCAGGCCCGGGCTGGGCTGTTTTTCTGGATTTTTTTACTTTTAATATTTTAACATTCCTATTATTATAATAATTACTTAAAATGTTGTTCCTAAAATTTAAGTTGTATAGTTACATTTTTCTATATCAGTATCATTATTTAGCAATAAATATGCCATACCCATAAGTAATAATCTATCTAATCTACCCATAATCTACTTTAGTGTAGTCTCAATTCTTTCTTGTTCTCATGTATCTTTCTATCCTGATATTTATGGAATTCATGCACACACATATACATGTACAAATATCAATAGGAATACATACATAAGATTTACACACGCATAAATATGTGCACCTATGTATTTCTCGTTATTTAGAATGCAAACATTTTACTGTGATTTACTCATTCTTGTAGTTTGTATTAAGTTAATGGTTTTATTTATCTTCTGGCTAGAGTACTTCCTGAAGTTTTTCAAAGACCTTTTTGCTGTGAAACTTCTGAGATTGTATGCCTAAGAAAAATTTTATCTCACCCACATATTTATAGGATACTTTGTTGTCTATAAATGTCTAGGTTCAAAGTTCCTTACGTTTAATACTTCAAACATCATCAATTGTCTTCTGCTCTGAGTGTTGCTGAAAAGTTTGATTCTTGTTCTTTAACCTTTGTCATTCTTTAAACCTGGTTCTTTAAACCTTTATTTTTAAGTTTCTAAAATTTTATGAATGTTTTTCATAGTCCCAAACCCTACATTTTTTGGTCTATTATCTCCATTTTGATTTTTGTCAAGCCATTTGCTTTTCCTTCATATGTTGTTACTTTAATTTATTATTTTGAGGATGCTTATTTTGCTGATTTGTAATTTTTCTTTTATCTGATTTGTTAATTCCATTTCATCTGATGCGGAATGGTGTGTTTGTTATCCTTTTTAAAATAGCAACTGGATTCCTAGTTTTTAAATTATGGACATTCTAGGAAGCTGTACAGGGAGGATTTTGGATGCATTTTAGATCTTCATATCCTTTAAAATAATGGAAAGACCAAGGTCTATAAATTCTTGGAAAAGATAGTCGCGTAGGCAGAGGAGAGAAATGAGGGCGAGGGGTGTGAAGGGCAAAAGCAGAGCCTCCAATGGAGGAGGAAGTTTCATGTGTAACACGGAGAAGTTTGTTTCTGGAAAAGGAGAAACTGAAGCAAGTGTACAGTCAGAAGATAAGAATTAAAGAGATAAGAGAGTGAGGTGTTCTTTCCTTAGGTTTTCTTCACATTTGTTCAAGACACATTTCTTGTCCATTTAAAGGTGGAATGTGAATAAAATATCATGACATTAAAAAAATTTGAGTTTAATAACAATCAAAAATTTACTTCAGAGACTGGACCAGACCAAGGCAACAAAACATGTGTGTGCATTATGCTCGATCCTTTAAAGGTCTCGCCACATACGTGGAGTAAAGCCCACCCAAAGCCCCTGACCATAACTGCAGCTACACCCTACTATGGACCCACCAGCCACATGTAGATATTTCAATTTAATTTTATGTTAGCTCGAATTCAATAACATTTAAAAATATTAAATGAAATAAAAATTTCTCAGTTGTACTGTTTAAATTTCATGTGCTGTGTGGGCTGTGTGTGGTAAGCAGTTACTATATTGGACGGTGCAGATAGGACATTCCCCTCACTGCTGAAATTTCCACTGGACACCACAGGCCTTCAGAATTCTGCAGTATTGCTCCTTGAGTGCTTTGGAATTCATCTCAATGCCCTCTTCACCTGGTTCACTGTGCTCCATTCCCATTGACCCTCTCACTCTTTCCCAGACAGGTGGAGCTTGTTTCTACATGAGGGCTTGGCATTTTTCACTCCCTCTCCAAGGACCACCCTTCTCCCTCCTGTTATTTTTGTCTCTGTTGAAATATCATTAAATTATTCTCTGATCACTTCCTAAAACAACATCTATTTCCATCAAGCTTGATCCTCTACCTTCTTTAGTTTCTTTAATCTGTTATTTCACAATAAGCTGTTTATGGTCAGTTTTCTTAAGAATTTGAGCTCCACCAGGGTAGGATCTTCATGCTGGTGGCTATGATAGCTCCACTTCTTATAAGACCTTGCAATAAACACTACTTAATAAGTATTTGTTCAATTAATATATGAATAAATTTCCAAATGTTTGTCATATTGCCTTTGAGAGTATCTTAGAAGTCTCTGGACACTTGATTCTCTAAATTTTCCAGAAAACTTGCTTAGGGGATAACATCAATGGAATAATAAGATATATTTCCATGTCCACCAGAGTTTACTCCTTGGTGTGGCTGTGCATGTCATGGGAAGCTCATATCACTACCAATACGTAAATTTAGCATTCACAAGATATTTGAGTTTGTATCATTACAAGATATATATACAATTACACACCCACAGGAAAGATGAAACACAAATATAGTCTTGCAAGGAAGAGGAGAAAGGAGGGAGAGGGAAGGGGGAAGGAGGGCGGGAAACTGGCGGGATCTCACCTAACATACACATGTGAGGGTGTTCAGCATTCCCCCTGGGTGAAGGGCTCAACTACAACTTGAACTTTACCTTAGAGTTGAAAAAAGATAACCTAAAAACTTATAACATCATATTAATTTGAAATTTAAAAAAAGAGTAAAATTAGAACCAAAATATCTGAAGAGCATGCATTAGTTTCTCAAATCCAATGTCAAATATCCCATTAGTTCTCTCCTTTTACTTTTATAATAAAAAATATTAATGAAAAGAAATACATCTAAATATTTCCAGTAATGCTATCTAAAAAGATGGAAGCTATCATGGTAGATGAAAAAAAAGAAAAAAAAAATGAAGCCAAAGAATATTTGCAAAATAAAATCCTTATATGTAGTTGAAATAAGAAAGTTGAAAATAAGGGCAGCGCCTATGGCTCAAGGAGTAGGGCGCTGGCCCCATATACTGGAGGTGGTGGGTTCAAACCCAGTCATGGCCAAAAAAAACCAAAAAAAACAAAAAAAACTACAACAACAACAAAAAAAAAAAAAAAAGAAAGAAAGAAAGAAAGAAAGTTGAAAATAGGAATGGAAAAGGCTATACCAGGTTAATAAATTTTTATGTAGCAATGTTGCTAATTCACTTATTAGTTTTGTTTGTAGATTCTTTTGAATTTTCTACATGCGTATAGGTATACCTTGGTGATACTGTGGGTTCAGTTCCAGAGTGCAATAAAGTGAATACTGAAAAAAAAAAGATAGAATTAGAACAGAAAGGGGAGGGAAGGAGAGAGAGAGAGAGGCAGGCTAATGTGTTTCTAAAAGATACAGAAGCTTTTAAAATCTCTTCTAGCTAAAGTACAAAAGGAAGACATGTCATCTTAGAAAGGAGTTGAGAAAGTGCATGGAAGTTGGTTGAGGTTAGGACTCTAGAGCCAGATTTCCAGGATGTCAGTCCTGCCTCTGCTCCTCCCTAACTGATCTCCGGCTGGCTAATGAATTTGTTTATCTCTCAAGTTCCTCATCTGTATAAGGCA